GACATGGGGCTCGAACTCATGAATCATGAGATCATGACCTGAGCTGACGTCAGACGTTTAACCAACTGAGTCACCCAGGAACCCTACTGAGAGTATTACCTTTTAAGGTCCTTTTCAAAGGTCAGAGATATAGGTTACACAAATGGTGAAATATTTTAAACAAAAGATCGGCAAAATGTCAATAGGGAGCTGACAAATACATACTGGGTTACTGTTTTCTCCCTACTTTTAGGATTGAGATTTTAACTCCACAAGTTAGAGATAAAGAAGTTGTAAGGGAAGAGACAAGGGCCACACGGCCAGAAACACAAGACTGAGAGCCTGTATCCGCTCTTACTATAGGTCTGACCTGAGGACAGGGACTTGAGCGGATTCGTGTTCTGCCTGACAACAGAACACCAGACACCTAACAGAGATGTGGGCATCAGGCTCACGTGCAGCCCTCAACCCTACAACAAAGAGTAGTTCTGGAGAAATGTTAGTTCTCATCCTACCTCAGTCAGAAACAGAACAAAGACCCCCAAATCAAGAGAACTGCAGGGGAGAAAATTTTCTATTAGAACATTTGGAAATAATGAGAAGGGAAACATCACAAAAGCAAATACACAAGATCAGTCTTGGATACGGCTAATTATTCTGGAAAAACAGTATCAGGAATATTTTTTGTTTGAAGATCTTCATAGAGAGCATTTAATCACATTTGTAACAACATGTGACAAACTCCAGCGAAGTATCTCCATTTCCTTTGAAACCCGCTGAGATAATAATAAAGAGATAAAATTACGAACAGGAACAAAGAGAGAAGCAGAACCGAACAAATTCACGAAGACAGCGCAGGGAGGATGGACAGACCCAGAGGAGGGGCAAGGTGAGCACTGGGCCGCAGGCAGCCCGGGCCTTCCCAGGGGCAGCGTGAGGGGCTCAGAGGCAACGGGACAGAGCTTTCCGAGCTCCCAGTGAGGATGGTCTCCGACCTAGAGCTCTCTGCGCAGGCCAGCCCTCAATCAAGTGTGCAGGCGCCAGACGCCGTCCTCCCCAGGGGAACACAAAAGCACACGGTCCGGGATGTGGGTCTGTGGCACAGGCAAGAATGGGGACCCTTCTGGGCCAGGCTGTGGCCGTGCAAGTCGCTTGACTTGCGGTCAGTGTCCCGTG